AATATGCATGGTATAATTTCAGTCTTTTTATATTTATTGAGACCTGCTATTACCTGATATGTGATCTATTCTGGAGAATGTTCATATGCACTCATAAAGAGAGAGAGCAAGAGATAGGTGAGAGTAGGGGAGGAACAGAGAGGGAAAGAGACACAGAATCTGAAGCAGGCTCCAAGTACTGAGCTATGAGCACAAAGCCTGACGCAGGGCTTGAACTCATGAACTGTGAGATCATGACCTGAGACAAAGTCGGATGCTTAACGGAGCCATCCAGGTGCCCGACCTCCCCTCCCCCCCTTTTTTTTTTAAAATCAAATCTGACATCTTATGTCTTTGATTGGAGCATCTAATACATTTATAATTAAATAAATTATTGACAGATACCTATTTATTGTCATTTTATTACCTGTTTTGTCATTGTTTCTGAAGATTTTCTCTGATCCCTTGTCTTTGTCACTTTTAGTCTCTCCTTTTCATTCAAAGAGTCCCCTTTAATATTTCTCATAGAGCTGGTTGAGTGGTTAACAGCTCTTTTAGTTTTTGTTTGTCTCTCTTTCTTTTCTGAATGATGGCCTTGCTGGATATAGTTTCTTCACCACAGATTTTTCCCTATCAGCACTTTGAATATACCAGGGCACTCCCTTCTGGATTGCAAAGTTTCTGTTGAAAAAATCTTCTGCTATCCTTATGGGTTTTCCTTTTTCAGTTAACGAGTTCCTTTGTCTTTCTGATTTTAGGTTCCTTAATCACTATATTTTGTAAATTTAATTACAACATGCCTTGGTGTGGGTCTGCTTTTGTTGATTTTGTTGAAGTTTTTTGTGTCTCCTGGATCTGGATATCTGTTTTCTTCCCCAGATTAATGAAATTTTTAGCTATTATTTACTCAAATAAATTTTCTGCCCCCTTTTCTCTCCCTCTTCTAGGACTCCTATAATGTGAATGCTATTACATTTGATGGAGTCATTGAGTTCTCTGTCTATTCTTGTGTTGCATAATTACTTTTTCTCTTTTTTGTTCAGCTTGATTACTATTACTGTGTTTTCTAGGTCACTAAGTCATTCCTCTATTCTTCCATCCTGTTGTTCATTCCATCAAGCATGTTTCTGATTTCATTTCTTTTGCCTTTATCTCTGCTGTTACTCCTTATCTCTGTGATAAGAGTCTCACTCATATTTTCCACCCTTCTCAAGTCCAGTGAGCATCCTTATGATCACTGCTTTAAACTCTTTATCAGTCATGTTACTTATATCTCTGTTTCCCTTAGATCTCTGGCTGTGGCCTTGTCCTGTTCTTTTACTTGGGATAAATTTCTGTCCCTTCATTTTGTCTACCTCTCAGTGTCTATTTCTCTGTCTTAAGAAAGTCATCTGTGTCTTCTGCTCTTGAAAATAGTCACTTTATGAAGAAGAGGTCCTGGAGTGCCTTGCAGTGTAGTGTCTCCTGTTCAGCAGAACCTGGCACTTTATGAGAGTGTCCTGTGTTGCTTACCCCTGTTCTGTATGAGTCACTTTTCCTTTCAGTGCAACTGTCTGCACAGACTTTCTGCATGTTGTGGGTTGTGTCTGCTCTCTGTGGTGTTAGTGGGACCCAGGTAGGCCAGCTCTGAGGGAGTATGCTAGCTGGAGAACTTGAGAGTAAAGCAACAGCAAAAGTCTATGTAGCCCCTGACTCTCTCAGGTGGCTCTGTGTTTATGCTGGGGTGTAAGGGTAAAAACAGTGCCTGTCAGCTTCTTCATTTTTGAAGTCCTTAAACACATTCTACAGTCAGCGTTTACTGTCTCCCATTTGCCCCCAGCATTGTATAAACTGACATATTTACGTTGCCTTGCCATGTAGGCTTCTGTCTTTAAGGACTGTGACTGAGCTATCACTCACCATTCTGGCTCACCCAGTGCTTAGTCAACATACTTTTAAAGCTCTGGGCTCCAAGTACCACTGGTTTTGTAAACTCATGGAATTCAGCCCCTATGGTTTTTAAAGGCAAATATTTAAATTGGCCTTTAGACTAGACATTAGATTAGTTTTCCCTGTGTAAGGGCCCCTTTCTCTGACTTTTCTACTCTTACAGCTCCCTCCCTGTTGCAGGCAGGTTCCCTCTGCTGTTCTGACCTTCCTAACCTTTCAGATGCAGCTTCTCTATATTTAGTTGTGGTTTGTTCTGCCAGTCTTTAGATTGCTCTCTTGTTTGTTGACTTAGATGTGGATAGTGTCTAGTTGAAAATGTGGGACAGAGTCCTACTCTATTTTCCTTCCACTTATTTTTCTCTCAGTCATGCTTTTCAACTACAAAATCTCCATTTATTTTTTAAAAATGATTTGTTTCTTGGGGCGCCTGGATAGCTCAGTTGGTTAAGTGTCTGACTCTTGATTTCAGCTCAGGTCATGATCTCACAATTTGTGAGATTAATCCCCACATCTGCACTGACAGCATGGAGCCTGCTTGGAATTCTCTCTCTCCCTTCCCCACCCCTTCCTCTCTCTCAAAATAAATAAAATAAATAAACTTTAAAAAAATGATTTGTTTCTTGATTAATATTCTCTTTATGGAGACATAGTTACTATAATTGAATTCTTTAAACAAATTTCCTTTAGTACTTTGAAAATATTTGTGACAGCTGATTTAAAGTCTTTGTGTACTAAGTTTAATATCTGGCTTCACTCAAGGACAACTACCGGCTTTTTCTTCTCCCTGTATACAGGTCATATGATTGTTTCTTCCTGTATTAATTTTCTGGGGCAGCCATGAGAAAGTACCACAGTATGGGTGGCTTAAATAACACATTTTTTCCCCCACAGTTCTAGAGGCTAGAAGTCCAAGTCAACATGTCAGCAAGGTTATTTTCTCCTGAAACCTTTTTCTCCTTGGTTTGTAATTGAGGGGCAGAGAGAGAGGGAGAGAGAGAATCCCAAACAGGCTCCATGCTGTCAGCACAGCCGGATGCAGGGCTCAATCATGACCTGAGCTGAAATCTAGAGTTGGAGGCTTAACTAATTTAGTCACCCAGGTACCCCCTAATCTTTTCTTTTCTTTCTTTTTTCTTTTTTTTTTTTTTTACAAATAGTTTATTGTCAAATTAGTTTCTACATAACACCCCCTAATCTTTTCTGATAAGGATATCAGTCAGACTGGATTAGGGCCTACCCTAATGACCTAAGTAAATTTAACTTAATTATTTCCTTAAAGAACCTGTATCCAAGTATAGACACAATCTGAGGCACTTGGGGGTAGGACTTCAATTTATGAATTCTGAAGGGACACAATTCAGCCCTAATTCCCTTTCTGTTATTGCTGCTGTTGTGGAAACTGGACATGTAAGATAAATAGTGTAAGAACTCTGGTACCTGAACTCCCCTCCCCATCCCTTGTTTGCTGTTCCTGTCTTTTTTTTTCCTCCTTAACTTGTCACTGTTCATTTGGTTAGTGACTTATGTGGACTAATTCTGTAGATTCTGTATCCTTTACCATGTGCAGCCACTTGTTTCTTTGACAGGCTTAAAAAGAATCTGGCTTTTATTTTTAAAACTGTATCTTAGAAATCATTCCTGGGTCAGTATACTTTAGTAATCTGCTAAAAGATTTTTTTAAATGCCTAGAGCTAGTAAGTCTTCCATTCTTTGTCAAAAGGATCTGTGTATGAAGGCACACCTTCAAATTTAAGACAGTTTACAGGTTGGCCTCAACTTCTAATTTCTTGCTTGACAGGGTCTCAACATCAACTAAAGGTTTCTGACTGGAGTCTTCTTCCCTACTATTCTGAGACTTTAATATCCTCAGGAATGTCAGAATTTTTCAAAGTTCACTTTTATCTAGCTCTCTAGGTATTCCCTCAAAATTAATTTCTGGTTAGGCTCTTACTTGGCACAACTGAAATCACAGTCTTAGCCAAATGTGATGATGTTACCAGCAGACTGCAATTGTTTTTATTCATGCCCTAGGGATAGGGCTTTTTCCAGAAAGCTAAGCCCTGATTCAAATCCAATAGCAATAATCACCTGGGTATGGAGTTTTTTTCAGGGACCTGCTATTTTAGTCAAAGTATTGATAGTGCTCTAGGAATGGGGCTTTTAACACAGCTCTAAATGGATCAGTTCTTTCAATCAACTCAAGGCTTTTCATAGCTACCATGATCTGAAGAGGGAGTGTGACAGGAATAATTCTAAGTTAAAATGCCACGGACCTTTACTACTGTTTTTATAGAGGTTTGGTATGCTTTTTTTCTTCTTTGTTTCTTTGTTTCTTTCTTTTGTTTTTTGGATATACTCCTTTTAAGTTTGTTCTATGCTTTTGGTTAATTTCCAGTGTTCTTATTGGCTGATTTAAAGAAATTGTTTTCCAAGTATTTTTGTTGCTTTTGTGGGAAAAGAAGTTCATTTCATATGAAATAATTAAAATTTTCCATTTTACTAAGTTTTGGAGTAATTTGCTACATAGGAATAGTTAACAAATAAGCCACACAAAAGGGTTGCTTTTACTATTAAGAAAGATAATATAGAGTGTTTATTATGGTTTTTACCGAAGGGAAGCATTGAACAAACTAAGTATAATCATTTATACTACCTTTAAGAAATTAGTTCTGAGGAGCCAGTCTTTTAAATCTTCAGCCACCTGTTTTTAAAAGATGAATACAGTAGCCTGAAGGACAACCTTCAGATGTTGAAATCAACATTTCACCTTGAGAGCTTAGAGAAACATTTCTGTTATTTTGGTCAGAATAAAAATTCAGTACTAAATTTCACAGGAATATAGTATTTTGGCTCTTTTACTCATCCTCTTAAAGTATCCTACAGCCAAAAATGCCTCCGTTAATTATTAACTTTTGTGGCCAGTTGTCTTGAAGTATACTTTTTTTTTTGCATCTGATTTAGCTGCCTCTAAGATACCAGTAATTAGGAAAAGAAAGAAATGGCTAGCTAAATATCAACTAATTAAGTCCCTTCTTTGTAACTAACACAAATAGGTCTTCATATAGTAGCACTTTTTTCCCTATGGGTCTTACCTTGCACTTCCCGAAGTTCTTGATTCTTACGTTTTAGAAAAATCTCAAGATTATTTATGAGATTCAGAGCCAAATCAGAATTCCCTGAAATTGAGTAAGGCACAATTGTTCGACCATACTGACTCAAATCCAATTCTCTGGCAGGCAGGTCATAATGTGGGTTTACAGTTATTAATTGGTATGTAGTTAAAACCAAAATTACAGATATATGTAACAGTATCAACTTCCAATTTCGCCAAGTGAATAGTGCTCTCTTTATAAACATGGAATGAAATTGCTGGAGGTAAAGTGAAAACTAAAAAGAGTAAAGAAACATAGCATTACAATGGGTGGTGACCCAAGCAGGAAATTCATAGCGAAATCCATTAATACAAATGATTAAAATTTTTATCACACTAGATATACCTAATATATACATCCTAGAAGCCAAGAAAATTAGGTGGCATAAAATTTTGTGTAAGGTATTAAGGAAAAGGATTAATATCTGTTTTCTGATCTAACTACATTGAATATCTTATCAAGATTTTATTTATTAATATGTTTTCAGTCTTTCTGATCAGAAAAAAATTATATTTATTTCTTTTACTTAATATTAAACCATAATGTATTTGTCCATTTTAAAGGGAAATATCCCCATAAAACTTGTATATAACTATTATGCTTTGCTAGGTTTTGATATACAAACTATGGAATATAGTGAGAAAATGCTTCTAATCTGGTTAGCCAATATCTTCTGATTACAACAGTCATCAGAACTTTTGGATCTTGTCTTGGAACTGAACAAAAGAGAATTTATGAGAAAAATAAATGAGAACTTTTCAAAGTGATTCAGAGAATTGACAATGGTGAATGGAGCAGCTCTGCCCTTGCCCAGAAATAAATGGGGTTAGGAGTGCCTGGGTGTGTCAGTCGGTTAAGCGTCCAACTTCAGCTCAGGTCATGATCTCATGGTTCGTGGGTTCGAACCCCATGAAGGGCTCTGTGCTGACAGCTCAGAGCCTGGAGCCTGTTTCAGATTCTGTGTCTCCCCCTCTCTCTGCCCCTCCCCTGCTCTCTCTCTCTCTCTCTCAAAAATAAATAAAACATAATTTTTTTTTTTTTAAAAAGACAGAAATGGGGTTGTGATACAAACTGGCCCATATCTGGCTGGATCTTCTATGTCTTTATTATTATTTGTCTATTAAACAAAGTGTACACATAATACCCAAGCCAAATACACTAGGTTTACATTCTTAGTGAATTTGCTTACCCCAGTATTAAATTTAATGTTATCAATTTCATTTAATCTAGAAAAAAGAGGTCTCTCATGGTATCTGGAAATATTCGTATTCCACTTCATGTCTTGTCTTACATTCTGGCCCTTCAAGGAAGGAAAGTGGGTAGCCCGAACATCCATTTGGGAATTTGCCAGGCTGTTGACCCTACAAGCACACATAAATAACAAAAAGCACAAAATATTTCATTTTCCATATAGCCTCAATTTATTTAATTCAGGGAATGTCAAATAAGGTTCCAAATTTGGAACACTCCTTGATCTCTGTCACTCATTATGAGGTATACTGTATAGAGGCAGCATGGTAGCAGTGGCTCCCAATAAACCAAAGGGCTGCTGCAAAACCACAGCAAAGTTTCTACCATTCTGAGACAACATGAGAAAAACAATTACAATATATTGTAAGTTTCATAAGCTGAACTTATTTAACTTAAAACTTACCTTTAATCAAAGATTATAACTCTCCTTTGGGGGTTAAAATATTCTTTGTTTTGTGAAATGATGGGGACATTCACAGAACAGAGTTTTCATTTTTAAGTCCTTACATTTCCTACTACTGCCTATGTTTAAAACTGGCTCCTTGTCTGTGGATACTTGAAAGAGATGAAGAGATATATAGGAGAGACAGGGAAGATTGATTAATTACATGAGTCAAAATGGTAAAAACCTTAATAGAAAATATATGATTTGAAAGGTATATTTTTCTAAGTCACATATTTATCAAAATCTTTAAAATACCTTCCTGCTAGTATTTGTATGAAACAGAACAATAATAAATTCTGAACTCTGACAATTAAAAGCAGTGAGGAGACTGATGGATTCTGTACCTTAAAAAACCATATATTGTATTTAATAATATAGTTTAAAAATCTGCTTTAAAATATTTTTGTAGCATGGTTTTGTTTGATTCTAAAAATTTGAGGACTACTGTGCTTTTTTAAAAAAATTCTTTTAAATGTTTACTTATCTTTGAGAGAGAGACAGAATGTGAGCAGGGAAGGACAGAGAGAGGGAGACACAGAATCCAAAGCAGGCTCCAGGCTCTGAGCTGTCAGCACAGAGCCCTTCACAAGCAGCAAGATTGTGACTTCAGCTGAAATCAGACACCCAACTGACTGAGCCACCCAGGCACCCCAGGACTACTGTACTTTTAAAATAGAATCATTAAATATTTTTTCTGTCATCTTCCTTAAGTTTTTGGCCCTCATATTTTATTCATTGGTATATATTTCCATTAGGAAAACATTAGAGAATATAAATAAGTGGAAGGCAAAATATTCCTACTACATAGGGATAACAATGATATTTTCCACATATCTGTATAAAAAGACACAAACATATATATACTCTCTTAAAAGGAGCAAATGGATTATATTCAGTCCATTTTTTTGAAGAGTTCTTTTTTAAAAAATGCTTTTTTATTTTTGAGAGAGAGAGCATGAGCAGAGGTGGGGCAGAGGATCCAAAGCAGGCTCAGTGCAGACAGCAGACCCAATGCGGGGCTGGAACTCATGACCTGTGAGATCATGACCTGAGTCCAAGTCAGACACTCAACCAATTGAGCCATCCAGGCGCCCCCCCCATTTGTTTTATTTTATTTTCCAGCTTTAGTGAAGTATGATTGACAAATAAAAATTATATAAGTTTAATGTAGAGCCCAAACGTCTATCAACTGATGAATGGACTAAGAAGATGTATATATAAACAATGGAATATTACTTGATGATGAAAAAGAATGAAATCTTGCCATTTGCAACATTGTGGATGAAACTGGAGGGTATTATGCTAAGCAAAATAAATCAGAGAAAGACAGATATGGTATGATTTCACTCATGTGTGGAATTTGAGAAACTGTTAACAGAAGACCATAGGGGAAGGGAAGGGAAAATAAGACAAAAACAGAGAGGTAGGCAAACCAGAAGAGACTCTTAAATACAGAGAACAAACTGAAGATTGATGGAGGTGGGGACTTGGGAGTGGGAAAATGGGTGATGGGCATTGAGGAGGGCACTTGTTGGGATGGGCAATGGGTGTTGTATGTAAGTGATGAATCACAGGAATCTAGTCCTGAAGCCAAGACTACACTGTATGTTAGCTAACTGGACAATGAAAAAAATAAAATAAAAAGAAATGACTTGATTAAAAAATGGGCAAAGGAGAGAGGGTTCAGGAAGATGGCAGAGTAGGAGGATCTTGAGCTTACCTCATGGCACGGACACACCAAAATAACAGCTACATCTGTGCAACTAACCATGAAAATGGCCTGAAGATGGGCAGAAGAGACCTTACACAGCTAATCATAGTGAAGAGGCCACATTGAAAAGGGTAGGAGGGGCAGAGACACTGTAGGGAAGCAAACCCCTTGAGGAACTAACCACAAACAGGAGGGACGCCAGAAGCATGGAAAAGCAAGAGGATCAGATCCCACACCAGTCACCCCAAACACTGAGGGTCTGGGAAGATGAGTCCCTATAACATTTAGTTTTGAAAACCAGTGAGGGTTAACATTAGGAGCTTTGAAAATGGGTGGGGCTTAACTCTAGGTAATTTGGCTTTGGGAGAATTGGAGAGCAAAAGGAAACTGAATCCTTAGCCTAAAAGAGCCAGCATAATAAATATTGTAGCAGAGAAACTAACTGCAAACAGCTGGCCTGACTGCTGATCTGGCACACCTAAAAGCCCACTGTGGCTGCAGAGAAGCCCATCAAGAGCATAGAGACCAAACCCTGCCCAGTGTGCCAACAGCAAGTGAAGCAGGTCATTGCAGCAGAATGGACTGAAGGCAAAGGTGGCTTAGCCACAGCAATAGGGCACATGCAGCCTATACAGGAGACCTATGGCGTGCCTGGTTCTAGAGACCAGGAAGCATGGAACTACAGGACACCATAGGAGTTTTTATATACAAAGGCACTTCTTTCAAAAGTCGATATATCTGATATCCCTAATACACAGAAACAAACACAGACAAAACACAGAGAGTTAGAAAAAATGAGAATACAGAGGAATATGCCTCAAATGAAAGAAAAGATGAAATCACAGCAAAAGAGCTACATGAAATGGAGATAAGCAATATGCCTAATAAAAAATAAAAAAAATATAAAAAATTCAAAGTAATGGTCATAAAAATACTCACTGCATTGCAAAAAGAGTTGATGAACTCAGTGAGAAATTCAACAGAGAGAGAAATATAAAAAAGAACCAGTGAGAGATGAAGAATTCAATAACGGAAATAAAAAATACACTAGAGGGAATCAATAGCAGATTAGAGGAATCAGAAGAATGAATCAGTGAGATGTAAGAGAGGGTCTTAGAATGCAACTGAGCTGAACAGCAAGAAGAAAAATATAAATAAAACAAAACATGAGAGTAAGTTAAGCAAACTCTGGTGACAACATCAAGCATAATAATATTCATATCATAGGCATCCCAGAAGAAAAAGCAAAAGAGAGAAATAATAACTGAAAACTTCCCTAATCTGGGGAAGGAAATAGCTGGATCCATGAGGTACAGAGAGCCCATAACAAATCAGAAAGAAGAGCAAAACTGGTGGTACCATAATCCCCAGATTTCAAGATATTATAAAAAGCTGTAGTAATATGGATAGTACAATATTGGCACAAAAATAGACATATAGTTCAATGTAACAAAATAGAAAGCCCAGGGAGGAGGGCACTTGCAGGGATGAGCACTGGGTGTTATATGGAAACCAACTTGACAATAAACTATTTGTAAAAAAAAAAAAAAAATTATTCAGGAAAAAAAGCACCCAGGCACATCATAATTAAAATGGCAAAAAGTAATGTCAAGACAGAATTTTAAAAGCAGCAAGAGAAATGAAAACAGTTATATATAAGGGGAACCCTATAAGGCTATGAGCTGATTTTTCAGGAGAAACTTGCAGGCCAGAAGGGAGTGGCATGATATATTCAAAGCACTGGAAGAAAAAAAAACCCTGCAACCAAGAATATTCTACCTAACAAGCTTATAAATCAGAATAAAAGGATAGATAAAAAGCATACCAGATAAACAAAGGTTAAAGGAGTTCATCACCACTAAATCAGCCTTAGAAGAAATGTTAAAGAGAATTCCTTGAGTGGAAAGAAAAGGCTAAAAGAAAATTATGAAAGGAAAAAAATTTCACAGGTAAAAGCAAATATATAATATAGGTAGTATATTACTCACTTTATAAGTATGGAGGTTGAACCACAAAAGTAGTAATCAATTGTATCTACAAAAATCAGTCCAAGAGATATACAAAATATAAAGATGTAAAATATGACATTGTATATGTAAAGACATAGAGGGGAGAATAAAAATTAGTGCTTTTGGAATATGTGCAAACTTATACAACTATCAAATTAATATAGACTGCTATCCACAAATATTATATATGAATGTAACAGTAACTACAAATCAAAACCTATTCTAGATACACAAAAAATAGAGAGAGTGGAATCCAAACACAATGCTAAAGAAAGCTATGAAACCATAAAGGAAGAGAACAAGAAGACAAGAGAACTACAAAAACAACCAAAAAACAAAGAACAAAATGGCAATAAAAACATACTTATAAACAAATAATTACTTTAAATTAAATAGAGTAAATGCCCCAGTCAAAAGACAAAGGGTGATTGAATAGATAAAAAACCTAAACCCATCCATATATAGCCTATATGAGATTCACTTCAGACCTAAAACACATACAGACTGAAAGTGAAGGGCTAGCAAAACATATCCCATGCAAACGGAAGCAAAAAAAAAAAAACACAAAAATAAAAAACAACCCCATCAGAATATCAATACTTATATCAGCCATTATAGACTTTGAAACAGACCGTAGCAAAAGACAAAAAAAGAGCACTACATAATGATAAAGGGAAACGTTGAACAAGTGAATAAATATCTATGCACAAAATACCAACAGCAGTTTTCACAAAACTAGGACAAGTAATCCTAAAGTTTGTATGGAACCACAAAAGATCCCAGATAGCCAAAGTAACCTTGAGAAAGAAAAGCAAAGCTGGAGATATCACAATTGCAGGTTTCAAGATATACTAAACAACTGTAGTGATATGAATAGTATAGTATTGGCACAAAAACAGACAAATAGTTCAGTGGAACACACTACAAAGCCCAGAAATAAACTAACCTTCATATAATGAATTCATCTATGACAAAGGAGACAAGAATCTACAATGGGAAAAGACAGTCTCTTGAATAAAAGGTGTTGGGAAAACTGGACAGCTACATGTAAAAGAATAAAACTGGACTACTTTCCTACACCATACACAAAAATAAACTCAAAATGCATTAAAGACCTACACGTAAGACCTAAAACCATAAAAGTGCTAGAAGAAAATACAGGCAGTAATCTGACATTGGTCTTTAAAACATTTTTTCTAGATATGTCTCCTCTGGCAAGGGAAACAAAGCAAAAATAAACTACTGGGACTAAACCAAAATAAAAAGCTTTTGCACAGGAAAGGAAACCATCAACACAACAAAAAGGCAACCTACTGAATGAGAGAAGGTATTTGCAAATGGTATATCTGATAAGGGTTTAATATCCAGAATATGTAAAGAACTTCCACAACTCAACACCAAGAAAATAAAATAATCCTATTAAAAATTGGCAGAAGCCCTGCAAAGAGAGACAACCTTGATACCAATGTGTAGGGTCTAAGGTTTTAACTTGTAATTCCCAGTGGCAGGTAGAGCAACTGTTATTCAGATAATCACTTAAATATTATTCATTTCATTCATTTATTCATCCAGGAAAATTTTTGAGTATCTATTTTGGGACACTGTTTGTGGCCCCAAGTACAGTCAGTGAACAAAACATACTTGGCCCCTGGCTTGTTCTAGCTGTAGTCACAAAGCAACTTTTTCATAATTTTGCTTCCTGTGTAGCTTGCCTAGAGACAGACAAAAGACAATTTGATTGAATAGCCAAGAGGCAATTTCTCACTATAAATTATTACAATTTATTTATCATAAATTAAGTGGCATACACACACACGCACACACACACACACACCAGTCTTCTGTGAACCTAATTCATGTGAATGAATTGAGAAACTGACAATATTAAAACACTGAGTCTTAGAGAATGCAGTCTAGACCTAGCTCTGTCATAACCTTAATCAGAAAAAGGACATTTTATGAAATCTTTTGAAAGTTAACCAGCTTATTTTGCTTTGTGACAGCCTGAACCCCCTGAGAATTTTCATTCTGAACATTTTTGCAGTGTAAGAACCAAACCACAGGTGAATTACTAAAACAGGGTTAGGTCAAAATTTTAAACTAATTTCTAGTACAGACTTCAAGTTAGAACTTTTCCTACAATGACATGGATAGTCTTTCTTCTTCTTGACTAACTCTTTTTATCTTTTAAAAAACTTTTTTAATGTTTTATTTATTTCTAGGAGAGAGAGAGACAGCGTGAGCAAGGGAGGGTCAGGGAGAGAGGGAGTCACAGACTCTGAAACAGGCTCCAGGCTGGCAGTCAGCACGGAGCCCGACGCGGGGCTCGAACCCACGAACCGTGAGATCATGACCTAAGCGAAAGTCAGACGCTTAACCGACTAAGCCACCCAGGCACCCCTCTTCTTGACTAACTCTTAAAGTATCTACCACAGAGAGACACATGCATCAAGGCTCAAGCCCCAAGTCTTTACATATTCTCGGCTGAATGTATGGAAATATATTAGCATAAAATATGAACATATTTGAAAAAATTCATAACTGTGATTACTTCATTCCAATACAAAGAGGGTGGGGTTTGTGCTCAAACTGATGTAGCACTTTAGGGGTGAAGGACTTTTTTTTTAAAAGGTCATTATTACCCACTTAAGAAAGACTTCTTCCATGGTAGTGATTGAGGCACCAAAGCTGGCAATGCCCAGTTCTTGCTGTTTCTCTTCCAGATCATTAAACAGAGCTTCAAACCTGAAAGGAGAGGAAGAGGAAAAGAAAGAACTAGCACTGGTCTAGATAAATTTTCTTTTTTGTTGTTCATTTTATTTTCTAGAAAATGGAATTTCAAAAAAATGTGAACACTTTCATTTAATATGTAATTTTATTTCCAACTATGTTCTTCTTCTATTGTTTTCTTAAAAGCTTTTTATTGTGGTAAAATATATGAAACATTACATTTACTATTTCATCATTTTAAGTGTACAATTTGAGTAGCATTAAGCACATTTGCAACCATCACCAGCATCCATTTCCAGAACTATTTTATTTATTTACAACAATTTTGTAAACATTTATTATTTACTATTGAGGGAGAGGTGAGGGAGGGAGGGGGGGAGGGATAGGGGCAGAGACAGAGGGTGATAAAGAATCTGAAGCAGGCTCCAGGCTCCAAGCTGTCAGCGAAGAGCCGGACATGGAGCTCGAATTCATGAACCATGAGATCATGACCTGAGCTGAAGGTGGATGCTTAACCAACTGAAGCACCCAGGTGCACCCATTTCCAGAACTATTTTATGGTCTCAAACTTAAACTCTGTACCCGCTAAACAGTAATTCTCTATTTCTTCCTTCAACCTCACTTTAACTTTCTGTCAATATGAGTTTTCCTATTCTATGTGCCTCATATAAGATGGAATCATACAATATTTGTCCGTTTGTGTCTGCCTTATTTCATTCAGCATAATTCTAGAATCATCCATGTTGTAGCACACATCAGAATTTCATTCCTTTTTAAGGCTGAATAAAAGTCATTGTATGAATACCCAACATGTTGCTTATCCATTAATTCATCAGTGGGACATTTGGGTTGCTTTTATCTTTTGTAATTTGTGAATAATGCTGTTCTGAACATTGGTGTACAAATACTTGTTTGAGTTCCTACTTAATTATTTTGGGTATATACTTAGAAGTGGAATTGCTGAATCATATGGTAATTCTATGTTTAACTTTTTGAGGAACTGTCTTAGTGATTTTCATAGCAGATAGACCATTTTACATTCCCAATAGCAATGTAAAGTGTTCTAATTTCTCCACATCCTTTCCTGCATTTGTTATTTCTCATGCTTTTTATTTGCATTTCCCAACTGATTAGTGATGTTGAACATCTTTTCGTGTGCTTACTGGCTATTTGTACATCTTCTTTGGAGAAACGTCTATTCAATTCCTTTGTCCATTTTTGAAATAGGTTGTTCAGGTTTTTTGTTAGATGAATCTTTAATACTGTTCCCACAATAAGTTCTGATTAGGCATGGGGAAAATGTTTAGTAGATCATTCTTCACTGCAATACTTATTATGAAACAAACAGAGATGAGGAAGTTTCCTTTAGCAAATTTGTACTCACTGTAACTTGACCTTTGATATACAGTCTTTTGTTGTCCTAAGAAATTATCAACTTACTTTTTATAAGTATTTAGGACTCTAGTTGATAAAAGTTCATTTGTTCACATACAATTCCAATATCAAATGGAAACTTCCTATATCAAATTACATGAGTTATAAATAACTAAATGACAAAAAATGGATTTAGTGAAGTAGAAGTGGGGTACTAAGATTTATCAGCTAAGTGAGGTGTATGAAAGTTTTACTAATTGTGGTGTAGTTACATCAGGGATTCTAACAAGTAATTTTACAAGGATGAATGGTTTTAAGTTCCAAAGATCTTCAAAAACCCATTTACTTCTTAAAGTACATCTCTAATTCCCAATGAGGGACTATCAAAAGCCTATGTACGATTACCCTCACAGATGGTAACTCAAAACTCTCCATCTTCTAAATTTTCTCTATATTTTAGGCTGAAATCCATTTCCATCTCACTTTACCTAACATTGATTATTTGTTCACCTCTTACCCCTAAGTTCAATCTGACTCCTTTTCCTATGACAACTCTACACATATTCTTTTTTTTTTTTTTGCAGTAATTTTTTTTTTATTTTGAACACCTGTTTCTTTTTCTTTTTTTTTTTTTTTTACAAATAGTTTATTGTCAAATAGTTTCCACATAACACTCAGTGCTCATCCCCACAAGTGTCCTCCTCCATGCCCATTCCCCCCTCCCCCCCACATCCATCAGTCCTCAGTTTTTGTCAGCATTCAAGAGTCTCTCATGGTTTGCCTCTCTGCCTTTTGAACTAACATTTCTTTTTATTTATTTATTTATTTATTTATTTTTACAAATAGTTTATTGTCAAATTAGTTTCTACATAACACTCAGTGCTCATCCCCAAAGTGCCCTCCTTCATGCCCATTCCCCCCTCCCCCCCACATCCATCAGTCCTCAGTTTTTGTCAGCATTCAAGAGTCTCTCATGGTTTGCCTCTCTCCCTTTCCCCCACCATTTCCGCCCTTCTTCTCCCCCTTGGTCCTCCGTCAAGTTCCTCCTAATCCTCCTATACGTGCAAACATATGGTATTTGTCCTTCTCTGCCTGACTTATTTCGCTCAGCATAACACCCTCAAGGTCCATCCATGTTGCTACACATGGCCAGATTTCATTGTTTCTCATTGCCATGTAGTATTCCATGGTATAGATAAACCACATCTTCTTGATCCATTCATCTGTTGATGGACACTTAGGCTCTTTCCATGTTTTAGCTATTGTGGAGAGTGCTGCTATGAACATTGGGGTACATGTGCTCCTATGCCTCAGCATTTCTATATCCCTTGGGTAAATTCCTAGCAGTGCTATTGCTGGGTCATAAGGGAGTTCTATTGTTAGTTTCCTGAGGAACCTCCACACTGTTTTCCAGAGGGGCTGTACCAGTTTACATTCCCACCAACAGTGCAGGAGGGTGCCCGTTTCTCCACATCCTCGCCAGCATCTAGAGTTCTCTGATTTGCTCATTTTAGCCACTCTGACTGGCGTGAGGTGGTATCTCAGTGTGGTTTTGATTTGTATTTCCCTGATGAGGAGGGATGCTGAGCATCGTTTCATGTGTCTGTTGGCCATCTGGATGTCGTCTTTGGAGAAGTGTCTGTTCATGTCTTCTGCCCATTTCTTCACTGGGTTGTTTGTTTTTCGGGCGTAGAGTTTGGTGAGTTCCTTATAGATTCTGGATATTAACCCTTTATCTGATATGTCATTTGCAACTATCTTTTCCCATTCCGTTGGTTGCCTATTAATTTTCTGGGTTGTTTCCTTTGCTGTGCAGAAGCTTTTAATCTTGATGAGGTCCCAACAGTTTATTTTTGCTCTTGATTCCCTTGCTTTTGGGGATGTGTCAAGTAAGAAGTTGCTGCGGTGGAGGTCAAGGAGGTTGTTTCCTGCTTTCTCCTCTAGGGTGTTGATAGTTTCCTGTCTCACGTTCAGGTCCTTTATCCATTTTGAGTTGATTTTTGTGCATGGCGTGAGAAAATGATCTAGTTTCATTCTTCTGCATGTTGCTGTCCAGTTCTCCCAACACCATCTGTTAAAAAGGCTGTCTTTTTTCCATTGGATATTCTTTCCTGCTTTGTCAAAGATCAGTTGGCTGTATACTTTTGGGTCCACTTCTGAGTTCTCAATTCTGTTCCATTGGTCTATGGGTCTGTTTTTGTGCCAATACCATACTGTCTTGAGGATGACAGCTTTGTAGTAGAGGCTGAAGTCTGGGATGGTGATCCCTCCCGTTTTGGTTTTATTTTTCAGTATTACTTTCGCTATTCGGGGTCTTTTGTGGTTCCATACAAATTTTTGGATAGTTTGTTCTAGTTTTGAGAAGTATGCTGGTGCAATTTTGATTGGAATTGCATTGAATGTGTAGAGTGCTTTAGGTAGTAATGACATCTTAACTATATTTATTCTTCCTATCCATGAGCATGGAATGTTTTTCCATTTCTTTGTGTCTTCTTCAATTTCCTTCATAAGTTTTCTATAGTTTTCATCATACAGATCTCTTGTATCCTTGGTTAGGTTTATTCCGAGTTATTTTATGGTTTTTTGGGCAATTGTGAAGGGGATCAGTTTCTTGATTTCTCTTTCTGTTGCTTCATTGTTGGTGTATAAAAATGCAACCGATTTCTGTACGTTGATTTTGTACCCTGCAACTTGGCTGAATTCTTGGATCAGTTCTAGTAGGCTTCTGGTGGAGTCTGTCGGGTTTTCTATGTAGCAACTCTACACATATTCTAAGGCCTCTGTTCCTTTTAAATGTTCTCAGTAGGATCCCTCCCATTAAAGATTATTGTATAATAAGATTATTCTTGTGATGTATTTGACTGATTTTGGTAACAGGGTAATATTGGTCTTATAAAACAAATTGGGGGGCGGGGTTCCTGAGTGGGTGGCTCAGTTAGTTAGGCATCCAACTTCGGCTCAGGTCATGATCTCACAGTTCCTGGGCATCTTCCTGCCCTGTACTGGGCTCTATGTCCATAGTTCGGAACCTAGAGCCTGCTTCAGATTCTGTGTCTCCCTCTCTCTCCACCCTTCCCCTACTTGAGCATTTGCTCTCTCTCTCTCTCTCAAAAATAAACACTTAAAAGTTTTTAAAACAAATTGAGAAATATTTCTATTTCTCATATAAAAAAAAAGTTTATGTGGAGTTGGTTTTTCTTTATACATCAGGTAGAATTAATCAGTGAAGCCATCTGGCCCTGGATTTTTCTCTGTAGGGATGTTTTAAAGTACAAATTCAATTTCTTCAATAAATCAAAACGTTTTCAAGTTATATGTTACTTTTTTTTTCTAATTTATTTTTCTAATTCAAGTGTAAGTAACATACAGTGTTACATTAGTTTCAGGTGTACAATATGATGATTCTACAATTCTATACATGACTCAGTGTTCATCATGATAAGTGTACTCTTAATCCCTTTCACCTATTTCGCCCAATCCCTCCACTCACCTCCCCTCTATAGCTAAAAGTCCATTTATCTGTCCCTTTTCTTCGTTTGTTTCTTAAATTCAATATATAAGTGAAATTATATGGTATTTGTTTTTCTTTATTTCACTTAGCATTATGCCTTCAAGGTTCATCCACGTTCTTGCAAATGGCAAGATTTCATTCTTTTTTTCTTTTTTTTTAAAGTAGGCTCTCCACCAGTGTGGGACTTGAACTCAGAACCCTAAGATCAAGAGTTGCATGCTCTACGAACTGAGTGAGGCAGTTAACCCCAAGCTTTCATTCTTTCTAGTGGCTGTGTAATCTTCCATTACACACACACACACACACACACACACACACACACACACCCTTCTTTATCCATTCATCTATTGATGGACATAGGGTGGCTTCCATATCTTGGGTTACTGTAAATAATGCTGCAATAAACACAGGAATGCATATATCTTTTCAAATTAGTGTTTCTGTTGTCATTTTTAAAATTACATTTAAATCCAAGTTGGTTAATATATAGTATAATAATGGTTTCAGGAGTAGAATTTAGTGATTCATCACTTAAATACAACACCCAGTGCTCATCCCAACAAGTGCCGCCCTAAATGCCCATCATCCATTTAGCCTATCCCCCACCTAACACCCCTCCAGAATCCCTCAGTTTGTTCTCTGTATTTAAGAATCTCTTATAGTTTGTTTCCCTCTCTGTTTTTATCTTATTTTCCCTTCCCTTCCCGTAAGTTCATCTGTTTTGTTTCTTAAATTCCACATATGAGGGAAATCATATGATACATTTTAAGAAAATATCAGAGATAATCTCCATTAACAACGACAAAAGTAGTAAAATGGCAATAAATACATATTTATCAATAATTACTTTGAATGTAAATGGATTAATTGCTCCAATTAAAAGACATAGGGTATCAGAATGGATTAAAAAAACAAGGCCCATCCAAATGCTGCCTGCAAGCAACCCATTTTAGATCTCAAGACACTTGCAGACTGAATGGGAGAGAATGGAGAAACATTGACCATGCAAATGGATGTCAAAAGAAAGCCAGAGTAGCAATATTCACATGAGACAAATTAGACTTAAAACAAAGACTGTAACAAGAGACAAAGAAAGGCACAAAAAAATCACAAAAGGGACAATCTCCAAAGACGATATACAGCAATTGTAAGTATTTATGCACCCAACAGGAAAGAACGCAGATATATAAAACAATTAATAACAGGGGAACTAATTATTAATAATAATACAGTAACAGTAAAGGACCAGGAAATAAAAGAAGAAATAAAGAAGTGCATGGAGACAAATGAAAACATGACAGTCTAGAGCCTTTGGGATGCATTAAAAGTGGTCCTAAGTGGGAAGTATATAGCAATACAAGCTTACATCAAGAAGCAAGAAAAATCTCAAACAACCTAACTTTATACCTAAAGGAGCTGGAAAAAGAAGAAAAAACCAAGGTTAAAAACAGCAGAAGAAAGGAAATAATAAAGATTAGAGCAGAAATAATAATATAGAAGATTGCAAAAACAACAGATCAATGAAACAAAGAGCTGTTCTTAACAGAAAGAGAAAGGACTCAAATAAATAGAATCACAAATGAGAGAGGAGAAATAACAACCAACACCATAGAAATAGAATCTTTTTTCCCATTAATCTATGGTTTTTTTTCCCCAAATTTTATTTAAATTCTAGTTAACAGTGTAATATTAGTTTCACATGTAGAATTGTGATTCATCATTTACATACAACACCCAGTGCTCATCACAAGTGCTCTCCTTATACCCCATCACCCATTTAACGCATCTCTACACCCACCTCTCCTCCAGCAGCCCTGTTTGTTCTCTATAGTTAAGAGTCTGTATTTTGGTTTGCCCCCATTTACCCCCCTAAGTTCTTTTGTTTTGTTTCTTTTTTTTTTTTTTAACGTTTATTTATTTTTGAGATAGAGAGACAGAGCATAAGCTGGCGAGGGGCAGAGACAGAGGGAGACACAGAATCTGAAACAGGCCACCGGCCTGTTGGCAAAATTCTACTTACTAAGGTTGCTAAACATAGAAATTTAAAAAGGATTTTTGGTCACCCAAATCATCCACCTAGAACTTTGTTTTTTGTCCACCCACAAAGGCAAGGAAATGTTATTTTATTTTTGTTTCTAGCATTTAAGGAATTTTTTATTTTTAATTCCTAGTTGACCACTAGGCTAATGGAACAAAGACCTCAGTGGCTATACGTGATGAAGAATACAGGATACACATGATTTAATCAGAAAATGCACTAAGCAAACTAACAACAATTATAATAAGCAGCAATGACAACACTGAGTAGGGGGGAGAATAATATTATATCATAATATTCCAAATGTTTTCAACAAAAATTACAAGGCACGAAGAGACAAAAATGGATGGCTCATACATACCAAAAATGAATAAATACGGTCTCTAAGGAAGCCCTCAGAGGTTACTAGACAAAAACTTTATCTGGTTTGTTGCTGTTCACATCCCTTTGTTGAGTCTACATCTTCATGAGTTTCAGATATATGTTTTTGGTTTTGTTTCTCAAGCACTTTTTAAAATTATAATTTCTTAGTTTTTAATTTAAATTTTAGTTAACATACAGTGGCTTTTAATGATAGAGAAAAAACTATGGGGTTGATGGAGGTAGGTGGGTGGGAGATGGGCTAGATGGTGATGGGTAGTAAGGAGGGCACTTGTGATGAGCACTGGGTTGTGTATGTAAGTGATGAATGATCCATCTAGAACTTTGAATCTTTACCTGTGTGTATATTCTTTGGGTAGGATAAATGATAATTCAGCTTCAGTAATGTTTTCCATAGTGGCATCTGGAATATGAGAGTGAATTACTGCTGAGATCTTTTCAACATCACAATGTGATTCCCTCTCCATGACTAGGTGATATCCAGCACCTGAAAGAAATCATTTAAAAGACCACATGAAGCATTTTCGTACTTTTTAATCTTGTTTTTTCAATTCAGCTCTTCATAGTTCTAGGTCCACAAGGAAGAAGACATGGCATGTCACACCTCAAGGAAGGCTCACACCTCAAAGCTTCCAAGTGCTACTCCAAGAACCAAGATATTGATAAACAGCAACTTCCTCTATAATTTCAATAATTTTCTTAGTTAACAATAACTTAGTGTATATATAATCAGAAACAGTATATTTTCAGAAATGCTCCTGTTATCTGGCTACTTATCACTCTCGAAATTGTAATCTTAGTAAATATTCACTTACTAGCACTGGTTGTCCAGTCTTTATCAGCATTAACTAGGCCCTGGGGATAGAGCAGTGAACAAAGCAGATAAAAATTCCTACCCTTCTACAGCTACTTTTTAGTGAAAGGAAGCAGATAATAATAAAGAGGAATATTATAAAATATATATATTTTAACTTATTTAAATATATATTTAAATATAAATATAAGATATATATTTTAACTTATAATATATATAAAAAACAGATATATTAAGTGTTGAAAGAAGGTTGTTAAACTTTTTAATTATTTTTTTTAATGTTTATTTTTGAGAGAGAGATACAGTGCTAGTGTGGGAGGGGCAGAGAGAGAGGGAGATGCAGAATCCAAAGCAGGCTCCAGACTCTCAGCTGTCAGCACAGAGCCTGATGTGGGGCTTGAACCCACGAACTCATGACCTGAGCAGAAGTCTGATGCTCAACTGACTTAGCCACCCAGGTGCCCCAAAGTTGTTGAATTTAAGACAGAGATCCATGGAAAGCCTGAGGAAATGATTTTTGGCTAGTGACTTTTAAGAACTCAGAGAATTATTACACTTAGTGTTTTGCCCATACAGAGAAATTCTTTTCTGGAATTGGAGAAAAACATCATTATTTTAAATATGTACATTTCAAATTGTCATTGCATTTATGTTTCTTTTTAAGATTAAAAAAAGTGAATGATAGGTTAAGTATGTATCTCTTAGTGGATAATCTGGTTTATTTACCTGGCTTTAGTAGGCACTACTACTGCATTTTACAGGAAACTACATCCTTAGAATAAAGTGATGTATCCACCATATTTATTGGCTGTGGAAACCAAAAACTGCTTTTGGTTTACTTACAAAATGGTATGTAAATGGTTTTTCATTTCTCAGGAATCATGACACAATTGCCTTGTGCTCTTAAAACTGAATAGAAAATGCTTCCTTGTGCAGAGAAGTGAGAGTTGAATGCTGATACCAACGTGGAATTTGCTATGACATCCAAGAAGCAAACAAAAATCCTAGGCTTTTGATTAAGATGTAAGAAGTCTAGTTTAAGTATATTTATGATTAGCAACTAAGAAGGGACCTGAACATCCCAAAGTATTATACCTTTTAAAAGATCTTGGGTCCCAACTTGACAATAAACTATTTAAGAGAAAAAAAAAGATCTTGAGGAACCTGAGTGGCTCAGTTGGTTAAGCATCCGATTTCAGCTCAGGTCACTATCTTATGGTTTGTGAGTTCAAGCCCTGTGTCGGGCTCTGGGTTGACAGCTCAGAGCCTGGAGCCTGCTTCAGATTCTGTCTCGCTCTCTCTCTCTGCCCCTCCGCCAACTCATACTCTCTCTCTCTCTCTGTGTGTCTCTCAAAGATAAACATAAAAAATTTTTTAAAGATATAGTTGTGCATTAGATACTATTTTACCAATAATTAGTAACATTAGTCAATGTTATTAGAAATGGCAAATAATTTATCAAAAGCACAGCTGTTTAAATAATGTGGCTGATAACCTAGGCTTTCCCAATCAGATAAATCTAAGTATGGATGTAGAGCACCTTACAAGTTAGTTACACAAACTCAAACCTGTAAGGTGGCCATAACTTTGAATACCTAAACTGGTATACAAACATGACTTTAGATTCATTTTTTAATTTATGTAGGCTGCAATTCCATAGTCCATAAAATGTTTTTCATATTAAAAACAGATACCATATGTATATGTATGCAAAGCAGACACTATAATAACTAGTATAGGGTAAATAATTAATGTGAGTTGAATGAATTCAAGTACTGAATAAATGAGTGAGGAAGCAATCATCCTTAATTATCTCCATTTATGTTTATACCCTCCAATTTTGAATTCCTATTACTGTAATTTTAGCCTGCCATGTTTCAACATCTGATGTATCAGTTTTATCTCCTAAAAAAGACTTATGCTTATCAAAGTCATTGACTATTTTATTCTACTTGTATGATTCTTTCATTCTGCACAACATCCTATCAATCACATTTTAGAGTTATCTCATTACACTGGGTGTGTATATATATATATATATATATATATATATATATATGGATGTATGTGTGTGTGTATATATATATATATATATATATATACACACATATATATATATGTTTATTTGAGAGCAAGTGAGTAAGTAAGCAGGTGAGGAATAGAGAGAGAGAGGGAGAGAATTCCAGGAAGGCTCTACAGTGTCAGCCTGGGACCCAACATGGGGCTCAGTCCCATGAACCATGAGATTGTGACCTGAGACAAAAACCAAGAGTTGGATGCTTAACTAACTGAGCCACCCAGGTGCCCCTACACTGTGGATTGAATACTGGTTTCGCAAATGACAAATCAGGATCAGAGATGACTGCTTTCTCTATTTCCTCTCCTCATCAACCAATCAATTATTCAACAACATAAATCTATGTGGACACAATTGCATTCCAGGGTCAAAGAAAACTGTCAGTAGGTACAAAGTGGGAGAAATAAGCATGGCCTTTTAAGTTGAAAAAAAATTATTTTGTAAGTCTGAAGGTATGTGTTGGAGAATAAGTGATAAATATATCCTAGTTGCAAAGGGCCTTAAAAACCAATTAGAATCACTGAGATCTAATTAGCAGGACAGAGAGAGCCACTGAAATTTGGGTTATATAGACAAGATGAAATTAAAATAATGCTAGAAGATTATTACTGAAGCATCAATTTCCTAAGAAAGAGTAAAGGGAGACAGACCATATATTTGTTTCAGGAAGACAGAAGAACCACAGCACTGCAAGGTCCCCCTGACCATGATGGCAATGCGGTCGCCTAGGAGGTCTGCTTCATCCATGTAGTGGGTGGTCAGGAAGATGGTACGATTGTGCTTATACCGCTGAAGGAGATCCCAGGTGGCTCTTCTTGAGACTGGGTCCATGCCAGATGATGGTTCATCAAGTATCACCACCTAAAGACCAGAAGAATTCCATGACCATTGCTAATTGATGTTGGGCTACTTGTGGGAAAATCTGCTACTTGAAGGCAATATGCTTAAGATCTAGACTACACATGGTGGCAAAAACCCTGGAAAGAAAGAATAAAGCCAAACCATATTATGACAATTGAACCAAATAATGCAAATTCCCTCTAATTATCATTGGGCAACATTCCTTTAGAATTCATACCAACCATCGGGTTTTTGTCAGCTGAGTTTCTGACCAGTTGGCAGGAACCCATGGTTAGTGCCCTCCCATTTCCCTTTTCATTCTCTTTTATTACCTTGGGTTCCCCTAAAAGTGCTATAATGACGGCGAGTTTGCGTTTCATTCCTCCACTCAGTGACTTTGAAAATGTGTCACGCTTTTCTAGTAGGTTAAAAGTAGACAGCATATGGTCAATTTCTGTAACATACACCTTATGATACATTCTTTTTACCTAAAAAGAGGAGGTAGAATTTACACAGTGCGTCCAACTTCATCCTTGGAAAGTTTTAAGATCATAACTTTCTTTGTGTATCTATGTAGATAAATGAAATTTCTTGTTACTATACCCTTAAAACATTTTATACCATCTCTTTTCTCACATCTACTACATAGTGTCTTCTTCCCATTGCCTCCTTTTAAGTCTAAAAGAAAGTTCCTAAAAAAAGAACTTTCAGATTTATAGATACCTGAAGCTCAGGAACAGAGAGAGAATAAACATCTCTATTTTCTAGGTATGATGAAGTAAACACCACCTCCCTTTATTTCCCACTGAACTCAATTATTAAACATGGAGAACTATAAAAAGTAAACAGCAGTTTGATCAGGAAGAATACCAGATTTTAAAGTACCCCTGAACCATTGTGAGGTTTACCATTTTCCCCTTGGGTATCCCCCTAGCCTGAACACAGAAGTAATCCAAAACCTGGAAGTGAGAATAGCAGTGCAGATAGAATGAGATTAAGGATAAAGTCTCTAGTTCTGGCTTGAGTAATGGAAAAAAACCAAAAACCAAAAACCAAAAAACCTCCTAAAGCTCTGAGAGAGTGTATGAGGGCCAATTCCATTTTTTGCTGTCCTCTTCATCCCAACCCACTGGGGTCTTGTGGCAGGGATGGTGGCAAGAGTAGAAAGGAATGGGAATCCTGCAAGATTAATAATTGTGAAAAGCTAAGTCTCTTTTGCAATATCTAGAGCAATCAGTGAAAGCCGTGTACAAGAAATATAGTAAAAATCACAAGTGACAAATTGAAATGGAATACTAAAAATAACCCAAAATAAAACTGAAAAGGGGAAACAGAAAAAAAGTGAGATCAAACAGAAAACAAATAATAAAAGGACAGACTTAAATATAAATATAGTATTAGTTATATTAAAAATAAATTATCTAAAGAATAAAAATTAAAAAATTAATTATTTAAACACATCCATTAAAAGATATTTTCAGAGAAGAGTTAAGATGGCAGAGTTGTAAGGGAACTCTGGACTTGTCTCCTCCCTCCACCACAGATCAACATCAAATCATCTGAACACCTAGGAAATTGGTTTGAGGATTAAGAGAACAACCTTCATAATTTGAGGGAGAGAATGAGACAGGTATGAGGTGCAGAGAGGTGAACTGGGGTGGAGAAGAGCCTAGGAGCCCCAAAGGGGAGGGAGCCCTTTTTGCAGAGAGGAGAAAGATGGGGAGAGAGAGCAGTGTGACAGGTTCATGTAAGAAAAGAAGGGGGAAAATAGTTAGGAAGAAGGAGGGAGGCAAACCATGAGAGACTCTTGAATACTGAGAACAAACTGAGGCCTGATGAGGGTGGGGGGAAGGGGGTGATGGGCATGGAGGAGGGCACTTGTGAGGATGAGCACTGGGTGTTACATGTAAACCAACTTGACAATAAACTATTCAAAAAAAAGACAAAAGGGAGCCTATGTTTACTCTGCACTCCCTAAAAGCATGGGGAGTGTCCCTGGCAGGATGGGAGGATGGGGTGGGGGAAAAAAGAAAAGAAAAGTAGTTTTCCTGAAAGTAGCTAGAGAGAAGGAGAGAGAGAGAAAGAGTAAAAACACATGCAGGGGACTGCACAAGAAAAATGTTCTCCAAAACCACTGACAAGGAAAAACGAGAGGGTTTCAATACCACCATTTTTTTTTGCACAACATAAACTGTGGAGTGCAGAGTCTGAAGATTCAGACAGAGCTCAGTGCCTGGGGGTGCTCTGGTGAGGAAGCATGGCAGAGAGGGTCTGAGGATCCCCTGGGGGTATTGAGAGAAACTATTCCCTTGTTTGGAGTGCATTTGATAAAGGTGATATGGCCTGTGTGTGTGTGTGTGTGTGTGTGCGCGCGTGTGCGTGTGTTGTGTTCGGATACAGAAAGAGCAAATATTTCATTTTAGTTTTCAAAATTTTAATTTTTTTTCTTTTTTCTATCAAGCTTCTTTTAACAAGCAGACCAAAACACACCTAGGATCTAGCTTCCTTTATTTGATTAAAAAATATTTTTTAATTAAAAAAATTTATCTTATTATTTCTTCCTCCAAAATGACAAGACAGAGATATTCACCTTAAAAGAGAGAACAGGAAGAAATGACAATCAGGGATTTAATCAATACAGTTATAACTAAGACGTATAGTAAACTAGAATTTAAACAAAAATTATAAGGGTTTTAATGGGTTTAAAAAAGCACAGAAGACACCAGAGAATCCCTTACTACAAAGATAAATGAGCTAAAATCTAGTCAGTCTAAAATTAAAAACAGTATAACTGAGATGCAGACTTGAATGCTGCCATGACAGTGAGGATGGACAAAGCAGAGGAATGAATTAGTGACAAAGAAGATAAAATAATGGAAAATAATGAAGTGGAGAAGAAGAGGGAAACAAAGGTATCATGAAGGTAGACCTAGGGAACTCAGTCACTTATTAAAAAAGAACATTTATATCATAGGAGTCTCAGAAGACAAAAAGAAAAAAAAAAAAGCGGGAGGGGGCCAGGAAGTTTATGTGAGCAAATTATAACAGAAAATTTTTCTAATCTGGGGAAAAACACAGACATCAAAATCCAAGAAGCACAGAGAACTCCCATTAAATTTAACAAAAGCCAGCATTCGCCTGGGTATAAAATAGTCAAATTCACAAAAACAACAGACAAGGAAAGAATCCTGAAAGCAGCAAGGGAAAAATAGTTCTAACCTACAAGGGAAGACAGATCAGATTTGCAGCAGATCTGTTCACAGAAACTTGGCAGGCCAGAGGAAGGGGCAGGATATGTTCAATGTGCTGAATGGGGAAAATATGCAGCCACGAATATTCTATCCAGCAAGGCTGTCATTCAGAATTGGAGAGATAGAAAGTTTCCCAGACAAACAAAAATCAAAGGAGTGTGTGACCACAAAAATAGCCCTGCAAGAAATATTAAGAGGGATTTTGGCGGGGAGATGGGGAGACCAAAAGCAACAAAGACAAGAAAGGAAAGGAGAACATCACTAAAAACGCCAACTTTACAGGTAACACAGGGGCACTAAACTCTTTCAATAACCACTCTAAATATAAATGGACTAATTACCCCAACAAAAGACATAAGGTATCAGAATGGATTAAAAAAAAAAAAAAACAAGGGGCGCCTGGGTGGCTTAGTCGGTTAAGCGTCCGGCTTTCGCTTAAGTCATGATCTCGCGGTTCGTGGGTTCGAGCCCCGCGTCGGGCTCTGTGCTGCCAGCTCAGAGCCTGGAGCCTGTTTCAGTCTGTGACTCCCTCTCTCTCTGACCCTCCCCTGCTCACGCTGTCTCTCTATCCTAGAAATAAATAAAACATTTAAAAAAAATTAAAAAAAAAAAAACAAGACCCATCTATATACTGTCTACAGGAGAATCATTTTAGATCTAAAGACAGCAGCAGATTGAAAGTGAGAGAATGGAGAACCATCTATTATGCTAATGGATGCCAAAAGAAAGCCTGAGTAGCCATACATATATCAGACCCCACTAAAAAGGAGAATTATAGGCCAATATTCCAGATGAATATGGATGCAAAAATTCTCAACAAGATACTAGCAAATTGAATTCAATAGTGCATTAAATAATTATTTATAATGATCAAACAGGATTTAGTCTTGGGATGCAGGGCTGGTTCAATATTTGCAAATCAGTCAACGTGATACACCATATTCATAAAAGAAAGGATAAGAAGTATAGGTTTCTATCAATAGATGCAAAAAAAAAAAAAAACCCCATTTGACAAAATACAATATCCATTCTTGATAAAAACCCTCAACAGAGTAGGGATACATAGAACATACCTAAACATCATAAAGGCTATATACAAAAGACCCACAACTAATATTACTCTCAATGGGGAAAAACTGAGAGTCTCTTCCCTAGGGTCAGGAACAAGACAAGGATGCCCACTCTCACCACTGTTAATATAACATGGTACTGGAAGGCTTAGCCTCAGCAGTCAGACAACAAAAAGGAATAAAAGGCATCCACACTGACAAGGAAGAAGTAAAACTTTCACTATATGCAGATGACAAGATATTCTATGTAGAAAACCCAAAAGATTCCACCAAAAAAATTGCTAGAACTAATGCATGAATTCAACAAAGTTGCAGAGCATAAAATCAACCTGCAGAAATCTGTTGCATTTCTATTTACCAATTACAAAGATGCAGAAAAAGAAATCAAGGAATTGATCCCATTTGCTATTGCATCAAAAACAGTAAGATACCTAGGAATAAACCTAACCAAAGAGGTAAAAAAAAAAATCTGTACTCTGAAAACTATAAAACACTTAGAAAGAAACTGTAGAAGATACAAAGGAATGGAAAAGCATTCCATGCTCATGGACTGGAAGAACAAACGTTGTTAAAATGTCTATACTATCCAAAGCAATCTACACATTTAGTGCAATCCCCATCAAAAATACCATAAGCATTTGTCACAAACTAGAACAAACAATCCTAAACTTCATATGGAACCACAAAAGACCTTGAATACCCAAAGCAATCTTGAAAAAGAAAAAAAATGCAGGCAACACGATTCCAGATGTCGAGCTGTAATACAGAGCAGTTGTCATCAAAACAGTACGGTGCTGGTACAAAAACAGACACATCAATCTATGGAACAGAATAGAAAAACAAAAAATAGACCTACAACTACATAGTCAACTAATCTTTGACAAAGTAGGAAATGGAAAAAGGACTATTCAACAAATGGTACTGGGAAAACCAGACAGCAACATGCAGAAAAATGAAATTGGACCACTTTATTCCACCAAATATATTCAAAATGGATGAAAGACTTAAATGTGTGACAGGAAACCATCAAAATCCTAGAGAGAGAACACAGGCAGCAACCTCTTTGACTTTCACAGTAACAACTTCTTTCTAGACATGTCACCAGAGGCAAGGGAAAACAAAAGCAAAAATCAACTATTGGGATTTCATCAAGATAAAAAGCTTCTG